GCAGCCTCACCACCCCTTTGCAGATAAGGTTAAACACCTCTGCTGTAGATGATTCTATAATGACTGTTATAGTGTTATAGTCATGATACTACAATACTAAAATTAACATCCACAATGACTCATATTTGATATATATCATAATATGATAATAACTTATTAAGAAATTATAATAGATAAATAATTGCAGCACAGCATTGATCATTTAATAGCTTTTTTGCTGTTCTGAAAAAAACTTGAAATATTTAATAACATTTTAAAGTCCCTCTTGTTGTTTAGCTAATAGTGCTTACAATACGTATATATATTCTAGTACAGTCTACACTGTATAAGTTCAAATATGTTACAACAAGTGATTCCAAATGTTTGAACCCTAGAGTACATTGCAGCTGAGTTTTTGCCGTTTATAATAACTTCAAAGCCACAAATCAATATTGTTGTGGGACACCAGTGCAGGAATAATGGTATACTAATATAGTTGATAGTTTGCCCGGCACTAGTTATATAAGAATCAATGTTCAGAGCCAAATGAAAACATCAGCAGCAGCAGCATCTCTGTAGACACAGCAAGGACATAAAATATTGCTGTATATAGGTCTTCACTGGAAGGTATTTCTGGCTTTGTCAAATAGGCCTGCACTTCCCCATGTGCTTTTCTTGTCACAGCCCTCCAAATGAAAGCCTTAAAAAAAAAGAAACGAAAGAGATGACAGGAGCGGCAGCAGCGTGGAGAGTGCTGGTGTGTCATCCTCAGCTTCTTCACCCATCTGTTAGTCTCGGTCTCTCACTGAGTCTTTGTGCCTCACTCCGCCCATCCAGTCTGCTTTGTAAACGTTCTTCGATCTGCTAGGCCGTGATTGGCATGTGAGGGAGATGGACGCTTGCGCGTATGCATTTCTTTCCGAATGATTTTGAACCAGCTATTGGACTTATTTTGCTTAATCACCTCTCTGAGATTTTTTCTCCTTAGCTGTCTTTTCATTCTCACTTTCTCTCTCTCTCGTTTTCTCTGTGCTCATGGATGCGTGTGTGCTGAATGTCGGTTCTAATCATGAACCTGTCGTGTCAGCGCCTGCATTCAAGCTCAGTCAAACACCGGTGAGAAAGAAAAGGTAGAAGAGAAAGGAAAAACCACTCTGCGCTTCTCTACTACCTCAACCACCCCATTAAAACGCATTGCACTGTCGCAAAGTGAAGTGCCCGTCAGGGCCTTATTGGCAGTTCCTTGCGGTCTCCTTTCTGCGTTCTCTCTCAGGACAGATACGGAGTTGGCAGGGCACCCGGCGGAGATTGCAGCTTACGCGATCTGCGTTGTCCAGTGAATTAACCCTTAGACGTCTAAAGTCGTTATTGTCGTTTTGCTATACTATCATTGTAATGGAATTACATAACTGTATAAACCCAATTCCAAAAAAATGGGAAGGGGCAACTTTTCACATGTAAACAGGTGAATATATAGGTGGTACTATCATGAATAGGTATAAAAGGGGCATTCATGAAAGGCTCAGTCATCACTTTTTGAAAAGCTCACACTTTGTAAGTAGTCCAGCCATTTAAGAACATTTCTTAGCACATGATTGCAAGGAATTAAGGGATTTCACAATCTACTGTTTATAATGTTACTAAAAGATTTAAAAAATCTGGAGAAATCTCTGTGCGTGAAGGCCAAGGTCAAAAATCAACGCTGAAAGCTTGTGACCTTCGATCCCACAGACATTACATTAAAACTGACATGTTTCTTAATTAATATAACCACATAGGCAGACAATTGCAGAGTTAAGCAGAGTGAAGTCTGTGCTATGCAAAATGAATGCCACATTTCAACAACATCTAGAAGCACTGTCTACTTTTCATCTGAGACGGAGGCACACTATAAGTACTGACACAATAAGCCCCTCTTGCTTTTTTTGGAACATGTTGCAGGCATTAAGTTAGATAAATCAATTAATGCTAGTTGAAGCATTAAAAATCTTGTATTTGCACTGTTTTCATTGCAATACATGTCTGAAGGTATTTGCAAGTCTTTGCTGCTCTGTTATTTCATTTTATCTGCTGTCCCAACTTTTTTGGAATTGGGTTTGTACAACAGTTAGTTTCAATGGTGGAATCAGATTGGTTGATAAGCATCCTGTTACAAATAGTAGCATCTTTTTTCACAATAGCTTTATAATTTCTGGTGTCCTCCAGTTGCTACGTAACAGCTCGCTTTACACTGCAATGGACACATTGGATAATTTCTATAAAAGCTGTGCTGAACCTGATATTGCAGCAGTTTTATGGCTCGATCTGTAATGCAAAAGGTTATTATTTTTTGGAGGAATTAACAATATTAACGCACATTTAAAAAAAGTCTTGGGGCTTCTTTGCCTTACTTTTTTAATGTATTCTCCAGAGCTGTTGTATAAAAGCAATATGTAACGGCACAGAATGAGTCAGACGCTCACGGTAAAAATGATCAAGAGAGGCTTTACTGATGGAAACGTAAAACAGGCTTGTAGTCACAAAGCAGGCGTGGGTCAAAACCAGAAAACACAACCAGATGTAAAGCATAACAATCAGCAAACAATCCAAAGGGCGAGGCAAAGGGGCAAATTCCAGAAGACAGTCCAAAAGGTCAAAAAACGGTGAGATAACAAAAGGCAGACAATCCAAAAGGGTGAGGCAAAAAGACAGAGTCGGGAAAAACAGGCAAAATGGTCATAAACAGAAAAGCTGATATACAATGGAACACTCAGTAGGTCGATAACGATACAATACTTCGCAACATGTCTGTGCTAAAGCCCGGGCTTATAAGCTAAACTAAAGATATCACATGACCTATGAAAACAGGTGAACCCAATTAGTATTCGAGAGAGTGAGAGCGCTGAGTGGAGCGTGAAGGCAGGTGAGAGGTCACAGGAGTCATGTCTCCCTGAGGATTCTGGGAGATGGAGTCCAAGTGAGCGTCAGAGCCTGAGGGATGCGTGAGACCATGGAATACTCAGGGTCATATTGCAAATAATAATATGGCTATGATTTGGTCGCAGGCACTTCATGTCATATTTTATTGCTTAATTACACAATTAGTTACATATTTTGTAACATAATGAATCAAGTTTACATTTCATTTACATTTTATTTCGCTGTTCCATTCTAAACCTCTAGACTTTTTTTCCAGTTGTTTTTTAAAAAAAGAGCAAACCATTTTTTTTCCTGACAAACACAACTATACCTTCTACAATAACTTCAAATTTAAATCATGATAAATCATCTGCTGTGCTGTTTACATAACAGAAATGGGGTATCATTTTAAAGTCCTTGCTTTTCAAACTAAATTTCTCAGCTTGTTTCAATGAGCTACAATTCACAAATTATTAACATAAAATTACACCATGCTTTTGTTATCATCAGTGATAACTGCCACTTAAGGGTTAAAAAACATTTTACACATGCAATGCAGAGGAAAGGAATTACGTATGATATGGACCATAGAGTGTGTGTTAACTGAGGAATAGCACCACAAATTAAACTATAGAGCCAATCCAGTATGATCCACGAATAATTAATATGCTGCTTGTAATATGTAACGGAATTATTGGAAGGGGGTTTTTGCAACTGCTTATTTTGGTTTATGTGTATGTGTGCATTTGTATGTATGCCTGCACGCTTCTATGTAATAACTGCACTGTTATTATGAAGAATTAGTTTGAGGAGCCAGCATAAACATGGCCCTCTGAGGCTGATAGAAGCTTCCTTTCTGTCCAGTTGCGGTCCTTTCTTTTCTATGCTGAAAATCCACCTGCTTCACTGTTTGATATTCCTCCATGCTGCATTAGTATAGATGGACTGTAGAAGGAGGATTTAATGGCTGCAAAGGTTTTTTTTGTTCACTATAATTCAGAACTTATATAACCAGCTTACGTATAAAAAATGTACATCTCCTTATCTATTCCAGCACATTTGGGTGTTTCCTTTGGAGAGAATGCACAATATCACACAATAGCTTTGCACAAGCTTATTTCTTGATGTAGCACTATGCAGCTGACTTTTCAATATAAAACGGGTTGCCAAAGTGCAATAAATCCTGATTTTGTTGCACAGCACCTGAATAGCCAATACTGGCTTATTTTACAAGCAGCCTAATCTTCTCCCACGTGTACAAAGGGAGAAACTAATAAGCCAATTCCCAACCAGGGGTCTCTAGAGTTATTACACGCAACTGTCTGTGGAGGATGGCTAGATAAAGAAGCCACAGCAAATAAAGGAAAATTAAGTTTACCAACTCACCAAGCCGAAGAAATAAAGCAAACTTTTTTCCGTTCCCACAGCAGGAGGGAGAAGTAGAGGTGGTTGGTAGTCTGCTCAGGTCGCTCCTTACGAACCAATCAGCAGTTTAAAGCAATAAAGTGAGTTGTGAAATGGGCTGTCCGGTTAATTAGGACTCTAGATGGGTTTGAGTTATGAGCTTTGGGAGCTATATGAGTAAAGTCATTAAGAAAACCTGGGATAGCTGGACAGATCTCTTAACCATATGGAATAGACCAAATCTTCCCTGGAGCGGCAGAGAGGCTGCAGTTTGCTTCATAGTTCTTGTAAATAAATGCTAATTTTTTCCCCTCATTAAGGGCTGGCAGAATGGGTATTAAAATAAGTAAATGGAGCGTTTTGTGCATGCATGTCAATCAAAGGCAGCAGCAGCATCTGCTGTGAGAGCGTTTGCATGTTTGCAGTGCGAGACATGCTAAAGATGAGCTGTGCACTTGGAAGGCAATTTGCATTGCGCACACCTCTCATCTCCCCACCTTTTGTTTGCCCTAACACTGACTGACAGTTCTCTGTGCACAAATTAAATTATATTACTTTACAATAGATTTTTTTTGAAGGATGAAAGCACTGATAAGCCCTTTTTTGCAGACAACTGCAACTGCCGCTGTTGTGGTGTGTTTCTGGTTTTGTTTGTTTTGACATCTTAACATTAACGTTCTTAACACCTCCTTCTCTCTGTTTCTCTCTTTCAATCTCAGGCAGTGTCACATTGCCTCTGAAAGGAAGCCATGTCGCGTCACCACCACCGGTTTGAGCGGGACTACCGTGGACCGTGGGACCGCCGGGATCGTCCCGCCGCCGTCCACAACGGAGTGGCCAACAGCACCTGCTCCCCCGCTGCCCCGCCCTTAGCCAACGGCAACAACCGCCCCGGGCTCCTCCCACTGCCGGTCATCCCCTCCCTCCTGCCCAGCCCTGTCACTATTGCCGTAACGACAAGCAGCACTGATCTGGGTGTGAAACGAGCTTCAGCGGCTTCAGTGGCAGCGCCTGCTGTGAAGGTAAGCTACAGAGACTGAAAGAGAGTGAGAGAGAGAGAGAGAGAGAGAGAGAGAGAGAGAGAGAGAGACGCCAGATCGCTTCCTTTCCCTTCTCTCTCCTCTCCCTGCCAAATCGCTTCAGTCTCTCCTCACTTTCCCTCCTCCTTGCTAATTTTGTCTGTCATTATGTAAATGAGAAACTCAGAGCGATGGGCTGAATTAAGTCCAAGCCCAGGGTTTTTCAACTCAAAGCAGGTGTCTGCCTTTTGAGCGGAGCAGAGTGACAATCAGGAAAATTAGTTCTTTATGAAAACACATTAGCTGTAACTTCACTGTTCACACATTTCGATCAAATTATCTTGTTTTGCTTAGTTTTTCTTTTCACTTGGGATGTGAGCATTAGGTTATAAGACACACTGCATGTAACTCGGACCGCTCTCAGACAATGCCATGATTGACGTGATCTTTGTTGGTTCTCGATTACAGTAGAGATACTCTGTAAGTACTATTCAGCTGATGACAGACTTATACATTATTCACTGATGGTGGCACCCAACCATGCTTGGTGTGCTAAACCATATTGTTCATATGTTTTGCTGAATTCACTCAATTTCCCATATGTGTTCTACTACACTGCATGACAAACTGTTATCAGTAAAAATGGCCAGAAGTATGGATAAAATTCAGACTGCTGCTGTTTTTAGCTTTGCAGTATACTTTTGTCCATTTTTATACATAACTATGGATCCCTGCTGGTGACGTCCCGTATAAGTAATGCGTGGCTACGCTGTGTTAACACGTAGGAATGAGATCCTAATTCGTGGCCATTAGTAAGGTGTAGGAACGGGATCATGCCTTACTGCTTGGTGGCCACGCATTAGAATCTCGTTCCCATGCCTTACTAAGTCGTGACCACAACTTAATTATCTTGTTCCCATGCCTTACTAAGTAGTGGCCACGTATTATTTTTATTTATACAGGATGTCACCAGTGGGGCTCTGTAGATAACAGTATGCTATACAGGTGGCGAACCATGGCTATCGGTGCTAGGCCTTCAGTTCAGACCATAAATGTCAAAAATACCTCTAAAAAAAAACACCTCTATGGCAGTTTAAGTTTCTGCACCAAAATGGGATTGTAGCAGTATGTTAGCACAAAGCTAATAGCCATTCAGATTAACATTTTCATTTAGATTAAGCTTAGACAAATATAGTGATTTGAAGCTTGAAAAAGATGTTCCATGTTTTTTTTGAAACTTGTAACAGCCATTAACATATATTTTACCTTGTTGCACTTTCACAGTGGCTCATTCGGTAAATAACCCTCGTACAGAGCTGCCTCTGTTTTCCATTTCTAACTGACTAAAGTTAGAGTTGACAAAGATTATCTGTAAGGAAAAGCAAGATAGCGCATGCCTCTCCAGGTCAATTGGACAAAGAAGTGGTACAGTTACTGCCTGCTTAAATCTTGCATCATCCACTTTACCCCTCTGCCATCTTGTGGGGCAACAACAGCAGCCTGTGCAGAAAGACCCAGCAGCTGGCTGAACAGACTCAAAACAAACCTGTTTAGGCTCAAAATAGTCACAAGACCCGAGCAGCCACAAAAAAGACGGCAAGTCCATTGTTATTATGAAGTATTTCTAGCTGGTGTAACCACGACTCAGGTTTCTGTTGTCTGCATAAAGGAGGAATGAGTTCCCCCTCCCTCTCACCATAATCAATTTGATTGTGATCCTGGAATTTTACATGCCAGCTCTTGCTTTATGAATTCTCTCTGCTGAAACCTGCTGGTCAGGCTACCACTCGTCCTAAGTTTTACTGTAATCCTTCTCTGCAGGTCTAGAAGGCCCTGAGGGTTTTCTCAATGTGCTATACAGTGTTAGAAACCATAAAAGAAAATGTTTTTGAGATAAAAACTCAACACTGCAGAATGAAAGAAGCACACCTCAGACTCCAAATGTGTCCTGGCTGAATAACTACACTGAGACGTAAGGGGAAAACTGTCTAAATCTGAATTTTGTCCAAATTATCCCTTGAACCGCAGCCATTGTGCTTGGTGGCTACTGTGCATCTGAGACGGTGGTTTCCAAGGTGATTTGTGATGAAAAAACACCTCTGAGGTAGTTGTAGAAATATGACTATTATCCTGGCTCTGTCACATTTTGCTTGGTGGTGTCTCCTAACATTCAAGCTTGCCAAGACTTTCTGCTCTGAGCTCAGGCATCTACTTCAGGGAGGAATCCCAACAACCACAGCATCTGTAGCCTTGACCGCTGTCAGCTTTGCCTCCCACAAAGTCCAGTTGGTCTGTTTGGTATCAGCCGTGTGCATTGTTCAGTTCTTAAAGAGCCTGGGTATCAAACGGTTTGCTTTAACGTGATGCAGATTGTGTAAAGAAGCTATTGTCATCTGACACTGTCAGTAGGGGACTTACCTCTGCGCTCCTCATTGTCTTTGACGGTTCTCTGTGATGTGTACATTAGAGGAGGACGTGGAGAAATGCAGCTATCTTGGGTTTTTGCTTTGTTGTTTTTTTTCTACCTTAATTACTGGGTAGAAGAGATCTGTCAGCATCAGAACAAGACTGACACTCAAGGGAAGGCCACCCTCCCTGTCATCTGCTATCAAAGTCTCTCTGTAGTTCTGTCCATAGGCTGGGCGAAGATATGAGGGATGCTCCTCCTTTAGGAGAGAGAGAAAGAGAGAGAGAGAGAGGGAGAGAGTTTTGAAGAACTGTTTATATAAAGACTTGACAGAGTCATTGATCTACTTTTGGGGAAAAGTCTTATCCACCTCTTGAACATAGCACTGCTGTCTAATAAGATGAAGCATTCTAATTAGAAAGCAGTGCTGTAATCAAGAGGTGACTATGGAGTAGATGTCTTTGTGCGTGTGAGTAATATGCAAAAACTCCTCTTGAATTTGTGTTAAAGTTATCGTTTTTTTGAAAGGAAAGAGTTGTGTAATGTAATATGCAAACATTGTTAAAGTTGAAAACGTAGTCCATACAGTCCCTATTTAGAAACTAAGTTGAAGAATTAGCCTGTTTTGAACTTATTATTTCTGTGATGTCACAAAAAACTTCATGTTAACACAAATAGCTGTATACAAAAGTTTGATTACCCCTGGTAAATGGGGAACAGAATGGAACAGACTTAAATATGGCATTGTTCTGGAAATTTTAGCACACAGTTTTTGTTTATTTGCTGAGTTTAATGTATTGAAGAAATATAAAATAAAATAAAAAAAAACATTACAAAAAAAAAGTTTTGCACGAACTATATTTTGTTTTTTTTGTTTTTTTTTTATTCCAGTATGTTAACTTCAGCAAATAAACAGTAATCATGCATTAAAATCTGCAAAAGTGTGTTCTCTTATTTTCACTTCAGAAAAACTCAACAAAACATCATTTGACTAGGGTTGCCCAAACGTTTGCATATAACTGTATATCAGCCTGTTCAGACTACAGCAGTTTAGCCCCTCCCATTGTAAAGTTTAGCCCCAACCCAAGCTGTAAAGAGTATTTCTGCCTGGACTGCTTTTTAAATCAGCTACAAAACAGGGCAGCCAATCAGAAGAGCTCATTTACATCTATCAGTTTTGAAGGCCCAGTAATAAAAACAACCTGTGTAAATCTAAGAGAGGTTGGAAAATGGTCATGTAAAAATGAATTATGACTGATGAGCTTGTTAAAGCTGTTGGTGAGCTGAAGCGAGTGACTGCGAGGGCGTTGTGTGAGGTTGTGACTGGCTCTCCATTGTGATCAGTAAAGATGGCTGGTGTAATGACCGCAGGAGGCCCATCTGCTTTCGCTGTCTGTTGTGACAAACGAGTGCTACTCAAAATCAACAAACAATTCCAAATTTAACCAGAGGTGTGGCCACTGATTTACTCGTCCCAGGTTGTTGTTCATTTATATTTATGACGTGTTGATTTCTGTCCGCAAGCGCATAGCAATTAATCTAGCAGCAGCCGGGAGTGTTAATTTAGTAATTGTTGATGTGTAGTGGATATCATGGACATTTATATGGAGTTGACCCCCTCTTTTGTAACTATAAAAGCCTCCGTTGTTTTGAGAAGGCTTTCCACAAGAGATTGGGGTGTGTCTATGGGAATTTCTGGCCATTCAGTGAAAAAAGTGTTTGAGGCATTCATGTTGACAAGAAGGCCTAGCTTGCAGTCAGTGTTCCAGTTCATCCCAAAGGTGTTCAGAGGGGTAGAGGTCAGGGCTCTGCGAAGACCGCTGGAGGTCTTCCTTACCAAACTCGTCAAACCATGTTTTATGGATTGTACTTTGTGCACAGGGGCTCAGTCATGCTGGAACAGGAAAGGGCCTCCTCTAAGCTATACTGTGCATTCTGGTAGGTAGTGTTCTCCTGGCAGAACCAGTCCAGTGGTGATGTCCAGTGGTGATGTGCTTTACACCATTCCAGTCGATGCTTGGCATTGCATGTAGTGGTATTAGGCTTGCATGCAGCTGCTTGGTCATGGAAACTCATCTCATGAAGCTCCCCATGCACCTGATAATGTTGTTTCCAAAGGCAGTTTGAACTGCAGCTAGACTTGGTGATTTTTATGAGTTTGCGCTGTCTACTGCTTTGTGGCTGAGGTGTTGTTGCTCCTAGACACTTCTATTTCACAATAGCACTTACAGTTAACCGGGACAGATCTAGCAGGGCAGAAAATTCATGAGCCGATCTGTGGCAAAGGTAGCATCCTATTACAGTGCCACGTTTAAAGTCTCTGTACTCTTCAATATGACCACTCTACTGCCAGTGTTGGCAAAGGAGATTTTCTTTGTTTCTATGTTCTTGTACACCTGTTAGCAAAAGGTGTAGCTGAAACCCCTGAACTCAATAAGTAGGAGGGTATCCACAAACTTTTGGCATGTTGTTTGCCCAGTATAAATTGGTGGGGTATGCTTTCATTTTTTGCAACTTTAGCTTCAAAGCTCCAGCATAAATCTAAAGAAGCCAACTTCAGACACCAAATATATCTAATCACCTGTTTTATTTGTAT